GCTCTGGAACCGTTCCCAGACGGTAAGTGCATAAAATTGCTACGGCAATGTGAGTGCAATTGTTAAAATACTCATCAGGTGACATGCGGCATGTTTGCGGTTTTATGTATTTTGCACTTTATGCAGCTTAAGCGCACGCTTCCAAGAAAATTAACCTCTTTCCCCACCGTGCTTTCATGGCTCCCTGACAAACACTCTGTGTGTATAATAATGGTGCTCCAGCCACTACAAAGAGATTGTAATTAGGCGTCTGGCATAGTAGCACAATGTATGATATGTGTCTGGAAGCTGGAAATCATTTCAGGTAGTTCTGGACATAAAAGAGGTCTTAAAGTATCACAGAGTGTCTTTTCGTCTAGTGAAGGCAGAGAAGGAGACAAAAACCCACTCTAATGAACTTGCAGGCATCTTAATACATTTATATTAGCCCCAGCACAGAAGAAACTTGAGGGGTCTTTACAATGAGAGAAAACCCCGCTAAAGAATAAAGAAAGGGCTCACAATGAAGTCTAATTTGCGGAAGTAAATGGAGATAGTGCATTGAATTTGCTTTGAACGATTTTCCCTTGTAGAATTACAAGTAAGATTAGAAACATACCTGGGTTTTCATTCTCCCTCATCTGTTTAGATGGAGGCTCATCAGTGTCCCAGGGCGTGGACTGATTGATGGGTGTCTGTCCCCACCTGACGCTCGTTGCAAGTCCTTGAGGCTGATTTTCAGTCTTGGAAATGCAAGGTGTCTACCAGAGAGAGAGAAAAATACAGAATAAAAATGTTTAGACTATTGGGAATAATTACCATTCCTCATACCTAGTAGCTTGCTTGTTTGTTACAGTCCAAGACGATATCCTAAAATCTTTAAATATCATTCTCGTCCAGGCTTGCATGACATGTTCGTATGGAGAATACAATACATTTGAAAAAAATACTTCAGGAAATTTAATAAATCCACCTTTAAAAATAATCCACAACAAATTAGCATTTTCAGAAATAAGTTGCTTCTTTTGCCTTGAAAATAAAAAAAAACCCACCACATATGGTAATATCCATTCAGTCACGGCTTACATAAAATGGGACAGTCTTCTGTTTGCTCAACCTCTTCCAAAAATGGTGAGTTTTGTTTAGCAGAAGGCAGAACAAGAGAGACTTATTTACAACCATAGGACAAATTATTGTGGAACAGAGAAGAGAAGTCTTAGTATTTACTGTCTGTCAACCCTTAAAATTGAATGCCAATAAAAAAAGGCAGCATAACAGTCATTGGCTGCTAAAGTGGGTATGTTGGCAGTTCTTCAGAGATGTTAAAATAACTGTAAAGTAGGGGAAGTATCAGGGCTGAATAATCATCAAAGGGGATATGATCTGAAAGAGATCTCTTTATAAAGAAACTATTACGTGGATTTAAATGCTAAGCCACCTCCCCCCTGCAGTTTTCGGAGATCTTCCCAAACAACCATGCTTTTGCTGAGAAAAGGCCTGTAGAAAACGCGGGTGCCCTGACAGGTCTCGTTTGTTTAACTCTGCAGCGTATTTCATTGCTGGAAGATTAAAAGTTTTCTTGTTTTGTTTTTACTGGTGTCAGAACCTCTAAACCAAGAAAACGGAACCAGCTGCCTATTGCTGAATGAGTATTGAGGACTGAAGCCATAAAGAACAGGAGACCAGTCTGAGCAATTGCTTGTTTGCCTTACATCTGGGAAGTAATTTGGCTCCGAGACGGGGGTACAGCGGCTCCATAAATGTCCTGGGTCACACAGTACCACTGAAATCTCTGTCAACACCAGCAGCTTTTTTTCCCATCACCAGTACCTCATTCACCCCATGAAAAGAAGCCATTAGCAGACCATTTATGCCCTCTGCAAATCCATGCACACCTTCCCCAAGCCCATCAGTCATTCCTCAGCTCTTTAAATCCACTGGAGGTGTCTGCATTCAGCGGCTTCCTCCTGCCCTCCCTTCTGCCCCACTGACTTCTCTGCCAGCTCTTCTCCCCTGCTCCAAGGGCTCTCTCCTTCATCCAAATGCCTCCGACATCTATCACGCACTCCCTTTTCCACCTGAGCTTTATCCTCCTTGGGCTCTGGGAGTCAGGAGTCCTGGGCGCAGACCTTGATGGAGGACAGGGTTTTTGCTGGGCTGCTCTCTTTGCTCCCAGAAGCCACAATAGAAATACTTGCCCCACTAGAAATGCTATACTTTGTTAAATGCAGGTGGTCACAGGGAAATGTGATCCTTAATGGTTTTTTTTGTACAGAATCTGGAAGTGAGAATTTGCAGCTTGTGTCCAAATTAATTTTTCTTTTTTCCAAGACGCAGCAGTTTATCTTTTTTTTTTTTTTTTTTTTAAAACTTTAGCTTCTCCAGTTTTTTTTCTATTCTACTGGCAACAAGGACAATGACATCCACGTTTGAGATTCACATTTCCTTCTGCCCCCACCATTTCCATTTTCTTAACTTTTCAAACCTTCTACAACTTTTGCAATTGAAATAAAAATGAGAGTTAGGAAAGGCAAAAAGAGAGGACATGCAGACAAGCAAGAGCTTTAAGATTCCTTCTGTTGTATTCACGGCAAAGAAAGGGCAGTAGGGGAAGAAATAAATCTCAGTTTTGAAATGCTTTCTATTTATAAGTTATCCTGAGAAAAGGCTTCATCTGAATACCTTTCGCTTTTACATTGTACTAGGTCTTTGATACGGGAGGATATAACGCTGTTGGTGGTTTACCAGTTCACGTTAGCAGTATCCCTTTGGATCTAGCTAAACTGTTTAACTGTGGCCAAAGCACTCTGCAGTAGAAAAAGAAAGAAGAAAAAAAAAGCACCACCAGCATTCTCTGCCTATAAATCAGCTAAGATACTTCCCCCAGAAACACTATTATTTATCCCAAAGCAAAGCTTTAAAAAACAGTAAATGCAATATAGAGAACTGGGCATTTTTATGAATCATCAAAGACGGATAGGAGGATTCAAGACTCAAATCATGTCCCACACGTTCCACATGTGGCATCTGTGTGTTGCATTTCTTTGTTGTATGAACTGGGTCTTATAAGTGGGTTTGAAATACATACTTCTCATTGTTGTGTGGCATTGTCAAGATGTGCAGCATCTTGTGTAACTTTGTTACATCCCCAAGCTGCTTTAAAACAGTGTTGGTCTAAAACAAGAAAAAAATATTCCTGTACCTGAAATAATACAGACCCACACACATGCTACGCTTTTAAAAGAACCCATATGTTCTGTACAGAACGGGTAAGAAAGGGAGTATGTGACACAGCTCTCCTAAATCCTACAAAAATCCGGTTGCCTATTTTGCAAAGGAAAGCTTGCTTTCCAAAAAGCTAGAGTACCAGATCAGACACATTTGAAACTGGTGGGGTTTGCACCCAAATCTAGATCTAATTCCATACTCTGAGCATTAATAAAGAGGAAGGAGGTTTGCAGGTCTGATGTCAATAAATACCTCTCCTCTACTTCCACAAAATCCTAGTTTTTTCCACAATTTTTTTCACTAAATACACTCACAAACCCTGCTTCTTAGAGGCTCAGTGGATTTAAATGCACAAGACCAGCACATTGCTTTCAAACTATACTCCTGAGCTTGTATTTATTTGATCAGAAAGAGCTAGAGATTAGTTGGTATGAAATCAAAACACACATTCATGAAACACATTTTAGACAATAATGGTGGTGGAAACAGAAAAACAGCTTATTGAACTTCTTTTTTTTATATATATATACTTCTGGTCTCTGATCTAATTTCTGCATTATTTTTCTTAATACATGAAGGATTACATTACAAGTGTTACATGTCTCTGATCCAATTGCAGCAATTACCGATTTGCCTATCTGGAAAACAAAATTATTTCCAACGTTATCAAACAGAGGAACTTTCTGTCCATGCACTCGGGCACACAACAGTGCTCTATTTGATGCTTTTAATGTACAACACAAACGACAAAAAAATGGCCTGTATTATGCTAGTTGTGCAGGGGGAAGAGATGTGTTCCATTAGTGATCTGCAGACTTCACAGAAACTAATTGTACTATGTTACACTTTTATCTTTAGCTTTCATGTCAGATGCTTGTTTGAATTAAACACGAAACACATGAAAAAAGGAAATGCATTACAAAATCTACTGGGTATACATTTTAAAATACTGCCAAATGTCTATTTACGTGAAAAGACAAGAAGGTTTCTAAAAGATCTGTTGAAGCCTGGCTAGTCAACAGCAGCATTGGCTATTTAATTGCCTGAAATTCATGGCAGACTACAAAGATTACTACAGCAATCATCAACATCTTTGTAGCACCTCTAAAATGTTCAGTCTGGGCTCTTTGTCACGGATGGAGTACCCCAAATCCAAATCTGAGGATTTTTTCCCTCTTTTGTTTGAAATAACCATTAAGAACAAATAAAATTTTCAGTTGAAGCTTGCATGTCACCTCATGCCTGCCACTTTGAACGCCAGCAGTGAGCAACCTCCCAGTTTTAAGGAAATTAACTGCAATATAGATGTACAGGCAGAACGGAGCAAGATGGAACAATTTCAGAACTACATGAGACTAACACAGACAAGTTGCCAGGTTGTCGATTTTTTGTAGCTCAAACAGTCATAAACCATGGCCCACAGGCAACAGTAATTGGTGTACAGCTGGTCCACTGAACCTTATTAAATTAAAACATTAAAACCCTTCAGATTCATGGGGCTTTGCAGAATATCCACAAGAAAGTTCGTGAGTTCACAGCAATCAGCTGGTGCTAAAGATGGGGAATTAGTGATTTGGTCTATACTGCATCAGTTTACGTGGTTACTGTTAAGTGTTCAGAAGGCGTAGCTACAACTACGCCTGACTTTAAGCCCAAAGTTTTACAAATCTTTGATGAAATAAGACCTAAACTTTTAGTAAGAGCTTTTTTACATCAATGGAAACATAAAACGTACTGCACTACTGCCAACATTACAGAGTATGTTAGTGGAATTAAAAAAATCCAACCCAACAACCACCAAAAATCCAACAACAAAAATTCCAATACAATTTTCCCCAGGCTCAACACCACCAAACACTTCCTGGGAGGTCCTTACAAACACATTTGAGCCATTTCCCCAGAGGCTTGTAAAACTGCCGACATACATCCTGCTACAGCTCAGAGTGCTAAGACCTATTCAAACAGTTTCGTGAGCAAAAAAGAACTAATCTGGATACAGGGATCCTATTTGTGGTTCCCAGCAACCAAAATTATTTTACTATGGCCTTCATTTAAAGTGATGGATGAGAAGTAGCGATTCTCTGTTCCAATTATCCAAAAGAGATTGGGAATGGCAGCTTAATACTAAGATAATGTATCCAATATGCAACCCACTCTATTTTCTCTCCCCATTGAAAATAAAAAGGCTAAGACACATGCATGCATAGAGGCAAACATTCCCTCCCACAGATTCAGGTTTTATGGCCTGTCATGGGTAAAAGCAACTTCAATTTAATGAGGGAATTCCTTTTAAAGCTGTTAGCTGTGCCTCACTCTAACAAGTAATGACTGGTGGCCCTGGTTGGGTTTTAAGCCTGAACGTGTCTGGTGCTCTAAAAAGCTCAGTGGTCTCTGCACCAAAGAGTTTATGGTCTAATTTGTAGTTCACGGTGCTAAATATTGCATGAAACAGGTATTATTTGTGTGCATGAGGCATGCATGTAAAATCTGAACCACACAGGGATAGACCACCTGGGGTAAATTCCTATACCAT